TTAAAAATTCTAACATACTTAATTTTTTTATTATAACAAAACTTCTTTAATATATCACGTAATAATCATAAATATAAGAAATAAATTATACGATAAATAATCGTCTTGTTTTTAAAATTTTTTTGTTGAATGCATATAATAATAAAAGACATCAAAATCCAAGAAGAAATAAGAAAGAAAAATTCTCTTAGATTTATGAGAAAAAAAACAGCGAAAACCTGACATCGATAATACAAATGAGAAGTTGATACTTTCTTGCCGCAAGCAAGTTCATTCGCAATGGATTTAACTGTGATTTTAATTCGAGATAAATGAAATTCAAACTGCCATATCGAATCATCGTTAAAAGCTTTCTTACTTCTAGCTTGTAAACTTGTGTATGCAGCAAATATGATATCTCAGTCATTAGACTTTTACGAGTTAAACGTACATTTTTGCAATCAATCCAATCGTTTGGTTATCATTAATAAATTAGTTCTCGTCGGCAATTGCTAAGGAATAAAATACGCGACACACCGACTCGGTCAACTCTTTTTTACTTATAATAGACATTGCTCGAGATGCGTGATCGGTGTCGTCGGTTGATTATACTAAGAGAGCCATTAAACGACTTCGTGATATCGTTTGATAATACACGTGTTGGCATTAATTTGCATATCGGTTACGGCGACATGATTCGGGAATCGCGGACAAAAATCGCGTCTTCTCTTTTCCTGAGGCAGCAGGTTAGAGCAGGTGTGGTTGTACAGCCACATGTTATAATCGAAACGGTTATAACTGTACTCTGGGTGTCACTGAGTATTTTCATACTTGATTGCATCGCAGACCCAACATTTGCCGATTATGTGCGATGCAGGAAACCGTGATAATAAATAAAGCTCGTATTCGCGCCGATTATCCAGCTTGTTTCATGGGTATACAAATGGATAGATAAATCCATGAGGAATTTATATAGTTTTCAATTTACAGCGTTATCGAGATTGCAGATTTTTAACGCGTAATTGCATCTTGCCTGACATTTTTATCTCTTGACAGGAAATTCTTAGTACCTTGAAGTATGTAAAAGTTATTTAAAAAAAATTTTTTTTAAATTATATAAATTCCATATGGATTTATCTATCCATTAGCTTGTTTTAAAAAAATTTTACAAAGAGAATATTCGTTCTCTCTCTCCACGAGATTTATTAAATATTAAATCGAGAAAATATTAACGATTAAGATTGCACAACGTGCGCAGTCTCTTAGAAAAGAGACCGTTTCTTATTCAATATCTATTTGAACGGATATTAACAGTCATGCAAAGATCCGAAAAAATGTTCCGCGACCCATAAAATGGAATGACAGTGCAAAAAGCTAATTCTTCGGATTATCGTTCCACTTTTCAAATCTCAGGATAATGACTTTTCGAATCTTTTCATGCCAGATTTTAAGCATATCTTTGCATTCGAGTCGGTTAGCTAATGCCAATATTTTTTTATACAATCTGCATTCCAAATCCAAGAGCGCTGTCTGACATATCGATCTCCTTAATGTCGCTAACGGTATCTGGTATCCCTATTTAAAGAACTGTCTTTCGCACTCAGGCGGTTAGAATTGTATTTTTATTCAAAATTATCGCGTAGATAACAAATTGAAAAATTTATAGATGAGTTTATTCCCAATTCGAGAGATTTACGTTTAATAATTGTAAATTGTTCGATCAATGTTAACAAAAAGCAATAATCAGAAATTTCGAATCGCTTACGTGTTTATTCCGTTATTACTTTTAACTCTCAGTTAATTATTATTAATTAATTCTTTTATATTAAAATATATTCCTTATCCCATTAACTAGAAAGTATCTGATTCTCTCATTAGTCGAAACATTTTATTTTCTGTCACACGGTATATTATCTACGTGCATATCTCTTTTGCAAAATAAAATGTTGCAGCTTTCGAGGTTATACATACATGCAGTAACTAAAGAATCGCAAAGAAATACGAAGTGATCCTGAACTCCTTTCTACAGCGCGAAGAACGCGACAGCATCTAGAACGGATGTCCCATGTTTATGAGATTTATTGCATCTATTAATTTTTTCTCTTCAATTTCTCGCTATTGTAAAGCGTCGGCCGATAATCAATGGAATTTCTTTAATTAATATCGACACACTTCTACGCACATTATACGGTTCACTGCTTTTATTTCAATTCGACTTTCGTCTCGTAGGCGTTTCTTTGCCGAAACGAATCTTATCCAGACTGACTATAAAAATGACGACTGAATAGAGACGAACGCCACGTAATGGCTCCCACAATGACGTTCAATTAATTATTCTTTAATAAATATAAAAATGATATACCACATCTTAAGCTTTTTTAAAATTATAATCGATCGGCTAATATGCCAATCGATGAAAAAAAATAATTAACCATTTATCAAAATGTAAAATTTGCCTTACAATGATTAAAAAAATAAATTAAGATTTTATAATTTAAATTAAATCGTGAATAAAAAAATAAATCAAGATTTTATAATTTAAATTAAATCATGAATAAAAAAATAAATCAAGATTTTAATTAAATCGTGAGTTTAATTCAGTTCCTAAAGAAAGATTTATTTCATGTGATTCACGTTATATTTGATCAATATTCGGTTGAGTCACACATTATTGTTTTAAAACAAAGTGCGCGTCTTTCAGAGAAATGTATTTATCAGTGACAAATCGCTGAAATATTCATCGACAACCGTAAAGGCTTTTCACGCGGTTTCTGCGCTAGATCGCGTAACCTGATTAGCATTCGTCCTTGATTATTATACTTAATGAAACTTTGCGGCTTATACCACAAAGAAACTTTTACGAGGAATGAAAGAAGGTGAAGGATAAACAGAATCGACTGCTATCATGCGTATCCATTGTTTCCCTTTAAAGCAATATGATATTGACGTTTGCATGGAATTATGAACGATGTGATTTTAAAAACGTTCCATAGAATAAATTAAAAGTATCCCTACGGAAATTAAATGAGAGATAAATAAATTAAGCTCTAAATGTTTGTATGATTTAAGCTTAATATTAGCAAAAAATTTCCCTATCAAAGCTTCGTCTCTGTTTTCCTCTTTCTCTATTTTCTAGCACTGCAAGTCGAGAGAATACAAAAGTTATCCTTGAATTGGCGAAGCCACAAGTCAATTTATCGCATCATGTCGGTGCAATCGACAATTGTACGTCTTGTCTAAGTTTGAGCCCTACGTTAACTGGGTTCTAGTTATAAACGAGATTTCCGTTCTTGTTCAAGGTGTGCCTTCGAGAAGTTACAAGGAATTGGATCAACTATATTAAAAGTTAATAAATCTATGCATTTCGAAATTCATGAATTTGAATCGATATGTATGATATGTTGGATTTATTAATTTTTGACATAGCCAGTTCCTCTTTAAGAGGCGAGACAAGTTTTCGAAACTCGGCCGAATTCATGCATCGCTATTATTCGCGTGCTTATTCATTCAACCTCTAACAAAACTGTTTTCTTAGCACATACGTCATATTAAGAGCGTTTATGAGATTATCATTATCAATGATTATCTGCGGTATTAGTATTATAGTTATATTTCTAAGATTTTGTATATTAATAACATGTAGAATTATTATTTTTGCGATAATTTTATATCTATTTCAACGATTTATTTAACACTTTATCAGAAAATAAATATATTATATGTTAACATATTAGCACATAAAATTAAACTTTAACATCTGATCACTTCATACACACGAATTTGTGTAAAATATTTAATTTTTAACTCTTAAATAAATTACAATCTGTCCAAAAATATTTAATTTAAAAAGATATTCTTTTAAAGAAAGAATTATTAATTTGTTATGAAATGATTTATCAGCTTAAATCAATTTTAGTCAAGTCTACACATTTCAAGAAATATTTGTCAATAATGAATATTGTAAAATATTTTGGTTTTTAATTTTATATAAATATATATTAAGAAAGCAAAAAAACAGAGAAACAGAAATTAAATAATTGATATATTTTAACAGATTTTCCTAGACAAATAAAATATAATTAAAAACAATAGCATAAAATTCTTAAAACATTTTAAATAAACTACACTTCTCTCTTTTTTTTTCTCTCTCATTATTATAATGATTCGTGCAATATTATATAGAAATTTGCATAGAAATTTGCGAATAACTATGCGTCATCATTCAATAGACTTCTCAAAATTATCATTCCTGGATATGTGTCAATTTCACCATAATACTTGTTTGATTAAATCGTCAAAATAAAATTCTTTAATAATGAGGAAATCTTATTATTCAAATTGAGATACTGAGACGTAATAATATCGCAACATTTAAACTCGGAATTTAAATGGAAGATGGAAGATTCACATTTCTATCTTCATAAATTCTCTTCATTTTATTGATTTTATTTATATCGAAATTTGAACTGTAAAATATAACGTTAAAATGTAATCTAACGCGAATGCTGTCACTAATTCATAATAATACAAGGCATACACATTAATGATAACATATCTAAAAAAAATTGTTTGTAAAATACATAGTTAAAAAAAGAAAAAAGTTTTGTATTGTAAGTTTTTTTAACAAAAATTTTCAAATCTATCTCAAAGATGCTTTACAATATTTGTGAAAATTTCTTCAAGTGTATTTAATAATATATATTCAATCTTTAAGGATTAAAAAATCCGAAAATTCCTTGTGTCGCGCCTATAAAATCGTATCTCTTTATTTTTATATTTTTGTACGTTCTTAATAAATACAGAATTTTAAAAAATCAGAATTGCTACGAAACAATAAACTATATATATTTTTCAACGAAAAAGACCCTCAAATTTTCGTAATATTTTGCTCGAGTCGAAAAAATGTTTGAAGAACGCGAGAATTTGCGCGCGTGAAAGAGGGAGAGAGAGGGAAAGAGAGGACGCGAAAGGGAGGGAGAGGGGTTTAAATACGAGCAGAAGCGCGCGCGCTACTTCAGTCCGGCGCTAACAGTCTAAACTGATTGCTATCCGGATCTCGCAGGAAGGCAACGACCTTTTTCCCTTCTTCTACCACCCTTCTTTCACAATCCTTTGTTCCTTTAAAAAGAAAATCGTCGAACAGAAAGCGGAAAATTATAGGACTACGAGAAGTTGTCGGTTGGAAACTATTTGAAATCAGGTGTCTTTTTCGGCTGAATTAAAAATTCAGACCAGGTAGTGGTCGAGGACAAAAGTGTGTGTAACTATGTGCTAGTGAGAATCGACAAGAAGATATAAACAAGGCACAATAAAAGAAAATACGAATCGCTATGACCAACAGCATGAAGCAAACTGTTATCAAGTGAGTTGGCATAATTGTTAGACAAACAGTAATAGCGATCTTCTGTTGATAATAATTATTCGCGAAAGTGTATTTCTCTGTCACTTTTCCCATTTTAAAGTTCAGCTATCTCTGATGTGATGCAATTTTTATGATATAATTATTGCAGCTAGATGCAATGTTATTCTAACGAAATAGTATGATTGGAGGAATCAAATTTAAACAATAATAAAAGCTGCTTTTGCAACGACTGAATTATTCATGGAAGACTAATAGTTAAATGATTTCTATGAAAATACATTTATTTGCAAAATATTTATATTGGTAGGTCAAAATATCGAACTTGATTTTGTTATTCGACTTTCAGAGGCTAGATATAGAAAATACATATAGAAATAAAATATAAAAATGTATAGATGTATAAAATTATTAAAATAGATCATAATACCATAATATTTTAATAATATTTTAATAATTTAAATACTTTATAAATCTTTAAAACAGATTTACAATTAACATAATCATCTATCAAAAATAATTAGAATGCTAATAAATATCTGTAATTTTAACAATATTAAAACTTAGGAATTTTTATAAATAAAAATTTTCTGAAAGAATGCAAGCAGAAATAATAAAATCTTATTTTATATTTCAAGTAAAACTTCATTTTATATTCTATTCAAAACTCTACTCGAAATAAACTCCAACGGATCTTTTTTAACCTTTTTATCTATAAATGAAAAACTTTTTACATTACATAGAAAAGACACGTGTCTAGCAATCATAAACTGCTGACGCGCCAGCTATACCGGAACAGTTTTTGTGTCTTCTCTTTTTTTCCCTTTTACGCATTAGTAGAGTTTTACTTTTACCATGGACTACATATTCAACTTATGCAACGTTGCTTAAAAAACTGGTCATTCGGTGAAATCCGCTGAGTTCAATCTGAAGGAGAATATTTCATAAGAGAAGAAAGTGTTCTTAGATTCGATAGTAAATCACCAATTGTTACGCGAATTATCAATCGTTGACTGGAATATTAAAAATGTTGGAAATTGCATCTTTTTTACAGTATTGTGTCTCAATAAATATCAAGTAAAGTTAATCTTTATTAAGTAATTATTAAGTAAATAATCATCAAGTAAATAAGAGGTAATCATTAAGTCAATACAGATTAGTACAGAGTCACTTATAAATACTCGCTATAAAAGTCTAGTAGAATAATATTATATTCCGTAAAAATAATCATGTGGTTTTTTATAAAAAATATAAGTTTGTCTTTGAAATAATAGAACATTTTTCGATCATCAAGCAGATTGTCGCTAAGCTAATGTTTAAACTCTAGCATATATCGGTGCAAGATATGATCGTTGTTGATCTTATGTCTATGTCACACATTAACATTAGGCCGATAATTTGCTCGATCAGCGAGAAAAGTTCTATTCATTTATTTCATATAATGAATAGTTTACATACGTCAACTTTTAAATCATTGTTTTATTCAGAGCATATAGTTATGCAATGCAAATACTCGCAGACGTATCGTTTTCATATGTTGACATATCGTTGACATATTGCTCCGATATTATGTAAGAGATTGTGTTGCGGTTACGATAAACAAACTTTGCAATATACAATGTACGACTGCTAGTTGATATCAGGTCTATCAGCATCACACTAGCATCTCGTGAAACTACTCTCTGATTTGTTATTATCTTGATTTATTAAGATGTAAATATTGTTCTCTACTATTTTGTCTCTCTAATCAATTAACAAAAAACCTATAAATGAGTGAAATTCAGCATATTGCAAGAGTGTCGTTACCAAAACAAAAGCTCAATCGTTCGAAAAATCATGACATAACAATGATTTTGTAATCAATTTTAAAACGATTTTAAAACAATTTCAAACAACATAATCAATTTTAGAAGTGTTATACACATATTTAATAAGATTAATACACATAATTAATCATTATTTTTATTAGCTCACTTTCTGATTAATTAAATGTTGCATTCGTAAACTTGTACTTGTACAGCTGAATCTGGACCGTCCATTTATCGCCTATTATGACAAATCGCGATAACGACATACGCGATTCTACTTAATGTATTTTAATACGCAAACGAAAGAACGCGCAGCGCTTTAGCGCAACGAGAGAAATCTCGCGATTTCAATGCACGGGACAGCCGGTGATAAAACGTACCAGGCGTTGATGTTACAACGAAAGTCGGCCGGCCATTGCACCGCATGCAGGAATAAAAAAAGAGAGGGTAGACAATGTTGACAGAAGAAAAATCCTGAGATGAATATCTTTTCTCTTAAACGAGTTCAGCTAATAAATATTCGTACTATTATACGTCGCATTGTTCCTCCTTGCGATATTGATTTCCTTCTGTAATGAGTATAAACGTCTGTATATAAAATGTTTCCATTGTTGTTACTCGTCTCTTTTGTACGGGAATGTCCGCTTGAAAAGAAACTCCGTTTATTGCAAAGAGATATGGAAATTCTCGGATGGCATAACAGACGTTCCTGCGATTCGCAAGAACAAGAACTTTCTCAATTACATTCTGCGTCGCGAGGAAACTTATATTTAACTGTGAGACATATAGTTGTCAAGTGCGACTGTACATACATATTTCATAAGGTTAAATAATAATAAATACATCAAACATGTCAGTCACACAGTGCGTGTTCTCTTCAATCACAATAACTTATAATCCATAACTAATAATCCACATATACGCACTTGGAATGTTTTTAGCAGTTATTTAATAAGCAAATTATGACTTGCGATTTTGAGTTTTAATTATCGATCACTCTAGGATGATAAAAGTTAACATATTAAAATTTTATATGTAGGATACTAAAATAATTTGCATATTAGAAACCGGTATAAACGTATGATATTCAACTTTAAGAGCCAACTGATACATCAAGTATTGAAACTTCATAAGAATGTCTGGTATAAGGAAAGAATATAAAAATTTAGTCAAAAATATCAGAACCCTAAACTAAATTAAAAACACAAATTAGTTGTAAATCTCCATTTTAATGTAAATTATTTATAGATAATAATGCAAATGTGTAGATTTGAAAAGTTAAATGTGCTTAAATGTTTTTGACAAGGTTTTTGATATAGCATTACGTAAATAAATTAATAAATAAATTAAATTTTAAATCATATAAGTAAAAAAAATAATAGGTTTAATTTTTAAATATTTATTATCGATAAATTCATACACTAGCAAAACTGCGTACATACTCTCTTATAATTTTTCTATACCAATTAGACAAATCTCAAAATATTAAAAAAATGGAAAAGAATATGTATATACACATAAACAATATAATGTAATCATTATATGTATTATTATAAATGTTCACATATGACTAATAATTCTTTTTTTTTGTGTGAAATGGAATTTTTTTTCTATACGGAAGTAATAAAATAATATGCTACGAAAGACGACGAAATATCATGGATTGTACAATGAAATTCGCAAAATAACGCGAACTTGTATTGAACTCGCTCAAACGATTGGTGAAAGTTTCTCGTGAGGTATTGAATGTGTTTATGGTTCATGGTGCAAGTTTACAAACGCTTATCCCCCGAGTTATTACAGCGTTACGACAGTCGCGCCGTTACAATGTAATATGTATGTAAAATTTGTACTACGGAACGATCCTGTTTAACATCTTCATGAATAAGCCGAACTGCGATAAATTGATTTCAAGTAGAGTGTAAACTTGGTAATGCATTTTGTACAATACACATGTTTTTTTGTTGTCCGCATGCATAATATACGATTCAAAAGATTTCTAAGATAAGCATTTACACGTGGACATTATGAGGAATCCATTAGAAAAATCATATTGAACTCATAATAACATTTTATATAATTTTTCATATTTGTAAATCATGTGTGATGCATTTCTAGTTAATTTCTAATAAATCATTGAGATTTATTTTTGTTTTGCAAATATATATTAGACTTTTCTAATTTTACATACGCATATAATATATTTCTTTTTTTTATTATCGTTATGTACAAAGTTGCAAAGTTACATAACATTAAAATGAAAGCTCCACATTTAAACAATTTCACAAGCACAATCGCATAGCCTTGTATTACTTTGCTTTGGTTGCGAAATCGCGATTTGTCTTTCGCTTTTTCGAATACCACTTTAATACTCCTACTACCTTACCATAGAAACGAGCAATAATAAATTTAAAATTTAATATTTGCATACTGCACGTGGACGGAAAATTATTTGTAGCTAGATGCTATTAATGGAACAGCTTATTACACGTCAAATAATGCCATGATGTAGCGAATAATTAGTATAATCACACATCACATTGTTATTAGCATAACGTGAAAAACGTACCTTGATGAAACTTTATTGATCTCTCTCTCTCTTTCTCTCTCTCCCTCTCTCTCTCTCTCTGTTTTTGTACATCGCTAATTTTGAAATAATTCAGTGCATAATTCCAGACGCTGTAGTATCTATTAGAATAATTTAAATATTAATTCTTTAAAAGTATAATAAAAATTGCAATGTACATATTTCTTATTTTTAGATGTTTAAATATGCGCGCAAATTTTTTTCTTCAAAGTAACTTCAATTTTTTTAACCTAGCATAAATTTTGCTACATGAAAATAAAAAAACGTTTTCTCTTTATACAATTATACTCATAAGAATGTATATAGAATTATGTTCTTTTTTTACAAAGATACTAATTATATTTAGATATCTTGCTTATGCATAAGTATCTACTTAAGATTTAACTACTATAAAAAAATATGGAAAACGTCGATAAATATTTAACGAACATATTGTCTTATACTTAATAAGTCAATTATTGCATTATTTTGCACTATTAACATCTTGCTATTGCATTTTACTACGGGATAGCGCATCCTAGTTCGACAAGAACCAATATATTCCTTCATATTATATATGGCTTGTTATCTTTATAAATATTTGTTATATTTATATTTATTATTCCCTA